ACTAGGGGCATACAACAAAGCAAGAAATACATGAAAATAATTTGGTTGGTACTAAGACGGGTTAAACACATCTCATATGCAGTTATTTTAAATTTTTTTTTTCTTGATGCCCATTATGAACATATTGTCTGTCAATTTGAGCTTTGGAGTCGAGTCTTCTTAACTAGGACCTGCATATTAGTCTCAAGACACTAGCAAAAGTCCTAATGATGATTGACTCTAAAGCTCAATGTAATGCAAGTGAATGATGCAGCACAATAAAAACTAAAAGTTTTCACATGCACCTATTAGGTGAGGTACTCTCCCTTTGACTTCAAGAAGGTTTTCCAATCACACTACTAGGCGATAATACTTCTTTTGAATGCAAGAATGCAAACAGTGTCAATTACATTATGATATGCGATTGAGATATTTTTGAGTTTTTGATTTTATATATATATTTTTTTAATAATGATAGAAACACGAACCATTTGAATTAAATAGATAATTATGAATTCAAGTGGGATACAAAATGAATTAACAATTCAAAAAAAAATTGAATGTTAATTAATTCACAATAATGCTAAAGCAATTAAGAAAATTAGTTTTACTAGGAGTCTAAAATATAATATCACTTGACGCGGAAGGGTATGAGAATAATTGTTTTGACTCCCAGAGCCTCAACTTAATGCATACAATTTTATAAACTTAATTGCCTAATTAAACTCTTACCTATACTTGAATCTACAACTAAGAATATAGCATGAAAAAACAAGAACTAGAGAAACAAAACAAGAAAAAGAAAAATGCCATGGACTTATGCGATAAGTTGATCCCAACTCTTCAGCTCAACAAGACTTCGAAAAGCACATTACCTTCAAAGAACTTGAAAAAGAAAAAGAAAAATTAGCATAAAGTTAATTCTAAATGAAACATCAAAGCTTTAAATTTATTAATTCTCAAAGTTGTATTTACAAAAATTGAACTTAAGCCTTTATATAGGCTTTTATTTAGGAATACAATTAGAAGTAGGATGTATATTTCCTACTTGAACTCTTAAATTAAAATACACTAAAACTCTTAATTTAAATGCTTAAAATAAAATAATCCTAAATTGAATAGGAATAAAGAAAATAGCAAAATAATAATAAGAATTAAAAGTTCTCTCCATAGCTGAATTCATTCTTCCTCTCGAATTTGGACTTCTAGGTGGTTTTGGCTTCTAGCTCTTCTTTCTTTAATGAAATTTTTTGAATCATATTTGAATTAGACTTGTTGTAAAACTGGGAATTTGGAGCTGGAAAGTGAGTAGGACAGCCAGTCTTGAAGTCTTCTTCTTGGCCAATTGTTGACTGTCCTTGGAATCCTTCTTCAGGTTAAATTCTTTCACTTTTTTCTTGATTGTTCTTCTCTAACTTGCATTATGAAATTTCCAGCAAATAATTCTCATTAATCATGTCTAATTCTTCATTTTTTGGACTTCTAATGGATGCACGAAAGTGGTCTCCTTTTGGGCATCAAAGTCTACTTCCTTTTTCACTTCAAACTATGTTCGACCAGTATTTATGGCCTTCTTGAGTGGTAGGCTAGCTGCTCTTAGGCCCTCCAAAGTGCACCTCAGGCTTAAGGCCCTTCTCTTCTCATGGTTTGGGCCTTTCAAACCTCCCCTTTGATTCAGCTTGTGAGTGTGTGTCTCATGGGCCTTTGGGTTTTAGTTGTGGGCCACTTAGGCTGCTCCATCGGGTCTTCATGAGCCTCTCAATGGGCCAAGCATGTGGGTTGGGCTTTGGGAAGACACAACCCACTTGATTTCAAGCCCATAAGGCTATAACCTTGGGCTTAGGCATGCATGGCGTGGGCCATCCATGTGGGTACCTGCGCGGGTGGGTCTATGGGTTTGCACGTAAGTGACCCGCGGGTTGGTTGTTTCCCATGGGATCCCCAGATGTCTTGGGACTCCTCTCTTGATTGGGAATTGTAGCTAGTTGATATCACATAAATGTTCTTTTGCCACATTAATAAAATATTTTCCACACATCCACGAGCCATTTGATGATCATTATAATCTACACAAGATGTTGTGATTAAAGAAAACCTATTTGAAGTACAAAACGTTAAAACATTTGAATGAAAAAAGTATTGAAGATGAAAAATGAAAAATGAAAAATGAAATGAAATGAAATAGTTCCATATTAACAAAAAATGAAAAATGAAATGATTCCATTCATGTAAATCTCCTATAAACCAACTGGTGACCACATGAAAAATTAGCTCCTTAACACGACATCCCTTTTCATTAAGCAAACTATCGTTCATATTCCCCATATGGTTGTATCTGATAGAAAAACAACGCCCACATTATCCATAGAAATTTTTTAAAAACTCCCAACCACATATTCTTTCTATTTTTTACTCTCATAACATCCCATGCAGCCCCATATATGCCCGTCCTCCGAA